TGGTAAATAAATGATCATAGGCGCACATTGGGTGTGAATTTAGGGGGTGCTGGAATAATTTATGATTCACAGATCCGTGGGGGGCTTTGCCCCCCACACAACCCTAAATCCTAAAATGTATCAAATAGTCTGTATGATTGTACAGAAGACGCTAGGTACACCAACATGTGTTGTCTCCGTATTACAAACGTAGGTAAAACATAGGCAAAACTATTTTGCACGGGTATAAAAACTTTAAGGCTGTACTCTAAGCTAAGAAAGTAAGAAACTAAATGTTCACACTATAAATATGAGAAAATTTACTGTGTAACATTGTTTTTATATTTCATAAAATTTGAAAACAATATATTAGGAAACTTCTATTACATTTTTATGCTTTTATACCCAACAAATAAAATTTTATTGATACTTATAGAAAAAAAACTAAACAAAATGGAAACTAAAAATGTCCATAAAAACCTCAAAATAACTCAAAATATTTAGAAAATTTTATCATGCATAGAAAATGGAAATATAAATAACCAGTAAGATAATATAATTTTCTATAATGATATGATATAATATGATTGCTACATACTGTTTAATGTTTTGACAAAAACTGAAACACTGAACCATGCATTCACACAATACTGTTTTAATCGTGAATTCGTAAACAGTTGTCAATATTTGTAATAAAAAAAAAAATTGCGAACCAATAAACCACGATAGTTTATAAATGATTGGTGAAATACCGAAATAAACTGAGGGTGCTGGTGAAGCACCCCCAAGCACCCCCCTATGTGCGCCTATGTAAATGATTGGTCCTGCAGTGCATTTGGAAAGGTTTTGTAAATGTTGGTCCTCAGTTCCTCGCAATACTGTGTGAGTGTGCTTGATTTTTCGTAAAAAAAAAAATACTAATTCTGGTCATCTCCCTGGATGGGCGTATTTTTTTAATTTTCCCCGGGTGTTAAAAAGCTATGATCCGGCGCTGTATGTAACTAACATCCGACTTTCTGTTTAAAATATTGTTTACCTACTGTTTTTGATTCAATATATTATACATACCATACTAAATCAAACTGTTCAAATACACACACAATTTGTTAAAATAAATAAATAATATTAATAGTATCAATGACATACTGCAAGTTAGGTTAAGTTAAATTATACTTTTATTAAAAACGATGTAATAGATAGGTATGTATACTAAACATATTATATTTTTTAACAAAACAACAAAAATGGCAATGTACCATATTCAAATGGATATTAATATTGACATCCCTATGATTAATTTTGTTAATAACATGCACTAAATAGCCTTGATCTGATCATAACAATGATCGTATATTTATTTTCTTGGAATTAATTAGGTACATTAAGACAGTGTAATTTATTAGTACACCTAATTGTGTTTATAATATGTTTTTATCATTTATCATACAATAAACACAAATTTATATAAATATATAGGTACTTTGGGATTTTCTATTTTTTGTAAATTAATGAACTTTATAAATATCGACTTAATAATCGAATTATCAACGCACACTTTTTTACTAACAAAAAGGGCTGGTGCAATATGGATCATAATTACACGTTGAACAAAGTGCGCTGATAGTCTAGACAATCGATTAGGTAAATGGTTTTTTGACTTCAAACTTTTGGACAGACCCAAAAACCACAAAAAAGAAGTGTAAAATATACCTACTTACACCGTTGATGACTGATAACTAGACACTCAAACTTTTAAACATTCCCGCCAATGCGCCAAGCTTTATCTCCAATCCATATCACTAACTCTTATCACAAATCCTAAACTTTCATCTAACGACTGTCGCTACTTTTATAATTGAAATGACTCTTACTCCAAAATCGGTACCCCCTAATTCAGCGAGTCTCATAGGCCAACTAGAATCTATATTTTTGATTATTCACTTATCTGCTCAACTAACGGGGTCCGCAATCCACCGCAGGTGGAGTGCATACCTGATAATATACGCTTCGCATATGCTTACCTATGTGAATTTATGACTGATAGCTAGACAATCAAATGCACATATCGACTCTATACTTTTTAACAATTTCAACAACCAAAAGCAGATGACAAACGCCTAGAGATCCTAGAGATCGTATCCATTTACAACGTTCGTGACGGATTGCTAGACGCTTAAACTTTTAAAAATTTACGCCAAAACGCCAAGCTTTATCTCCAATCCATATCACTAATTCTTATCACAAATCCTAAACTTTCATCTTACGATTGTCGCTCCTTTAATAATTGAAACGACTCTTACTCCAAAATCAGTAGGTACCCCCAAATTCAGCGAGTCTCATAGGCCAACTAGAATCTATATTTTTGATTATTCACTTATCTGCTCAACTAACGGGGTCCGCAATCCACCGCAGGTGGAGTGCATACCTGATAATATACGCTTCGCATATGCTTACCTATGTGATTTGATGACTGATAGCTAGACAATCAAATACACATATCGACTCTACACTTTTTAACAATTTCAACAACCAAAAGCAGATGGCAAACGCCTAGAGATCCTAGAGATCGTATCCATTTACAACGTTCGTGACGGATTGCTAGACGCTTAAACTTTTAAAAATTTACGCCAAAACGCCAAGCTTTATCTCCAATCCATATCACTAATTCTTATCACAAATCCTAAACTTTCATCTTACGATTGTCGCTCCTTTAATAATTGAAACGACTCTTACTCCAAAATCAGTAGGTACCCCCAAATTCAGCGAGTCTCATGGGCCAACTAGAATCTATATTTTTGATTATTTACTTATCTGCGCAACTAACGGGGTCCGCAATCCACCGCAGGTGGAGTGCATACCTGATAATATACTCTTCGCATATTGCTTACCGATGTGATTTTATGACTGATAGCTAGACAATCAAATTCACATATCGACTCTACACTTTTTAACAATTTCAACAACCAAAAGCAGCTGACAAACGCCTTGAGATTCTGGAGATCGTATCCATTTACAATGTTCGTGATGGATTGCTAGACACTCAAACTTTTAAACATTCCCGCCAAAGCACCAAGCCTTATCTCCAATCCATATCACTACTCCTTATCACAAATCCTAAACTTTCGTCTTACAACCTTTGAGATTTTTATAATACCAACGACGTTGTCTTCAAAATCGGTACCCACTCTCAGCGAGTTCCACGGGCCCCGAGTTTCACTTAGAGCTAGTCTTCTCTTCTCTATACTATAAAGCAAGAAACCGAGGGCGCCCCCTATGCGTTAAATCCGAATCATCGTAAGAGAGAGCCAATGAGAAAATTCAATTTCCCCCGGAGGGCGGTCTCCCGGCGGCGGCGGAGCCGTCGCTGCGTAATCAGCCTTTCTTATCACTGTTTCGAGATTTTTTCGATTTTTTCGAAATTTTTCGAGTTTTACCCCCTCGGGGGGCCCGGGGTCTCCCCGCTGTGACCTTATTCGCGTTCCCCGCTAGATTTACAGGCCGCGCGCGGCCGTATTTTCTTCCCGGCGGGCCCGCGGCGGCCGATCTCGCGCACGATACGAGCGCCGCCGTCGCGCGCGTTTTTCGCCGTGTTTTTCGAAATATCGAGTTTCACCCCTCTCGGGGGCCCCGGGCGGCCCCGTTCGCGTTATATTCGCGCTCCTCGCTATATTTGTAGCCGGCGCGCTATCCTACTTTTTCAAAAATGAGTCCCCTCATCCGACTAGACCGTCGCCGACGCCGCAGCGTCGTCACGATTTCGACGGTTTTTCCGACTTTTTCCAACAGAGTCGCGTTTCGCTTCGTTTGTAGACTTTTCACCTCCCCGCCGAAGACGTATTCGAGTTCCCCGCTAAATTTATAGCCGGCCCGCAGTCCTACTTTTTCAAAAACGAGTCCCGGGGAGGAGCGGCGACGCGCAAACGTGAGTAGGTACCGAGTGGGTACGTCGTGTGTGTGCTATATACAGGCATAAATACATGCGTCTCGACGTCCGATTTCTTTCGCGAATCCCACCGAATCTCGAATTTTACCCCCCTCGGGGGCCTCGGGTCTCCCCGTTTGTGTCTTATTCGCGTTCCTCGCTAAATTTGTAGTCGGCGAGCTGTCCTACTTTTTCAAAAACGAGTCCCGGGGAGGAGCGGCGTCGCGGAAACGAGAGTAGGTACCGAGTAGGTACATTTTGGGTATCGCTTTATACAGGCATAAATACTTGCGTCCCGACGATCGATTTTTTTCGCGAATCTCACCGAATCGAACTTCCGAAGCCGGTCGAGACGGTCGTCCCCTTACCGACGCGTTCGACCCCCCCGCTCGGACGCCATTTGACGGACGTGGACGCCGTTTTCCAGTTTCGGGTGCACGGCGACGCGGCTTAATAGTCATAGATTTGACACGATATTTCATCTGAGTAGGTAGTCGATAGGTTAGGGCGCTAGGACATGTAACTAGGAGTCGTGGGTTCGATCCCGTCCCCCGGCGATATCGAAGATTTGCGGCGGCCGTGATAATCTTGAGTTTTTTTTTCGCGTTTTTTTTTTCGTCTTTTCTCAATCAGTTCCGTATTATCATATTTAAATAGTCCCCCCTCATAGTCGGGGTACTTTTGATCCCCCCCCCCAATCAAATTTTTTTTGGCTGAGCATAACTTAGCCGGGGATCGTCGTAGCCAGAGGCGGACTGGGGATAGATCGGCCCAGGGAGATTTGAAAAAGTAGCAGCCCATTACCCACGTGTTTTTTAATATACGAACTTGTAATAACAATACATACTTCTATACAATTCTGGTCTATATAATTATTTAAAACAATGATTCAAGTAATTTAACTTATCTCTGTATATTAATGTATTATTGACAATTGGTAGAAATCAGGGGATATTTTGAGAACCAAAGCTCTTCAACATGTTTACTAATCCCTTGGTAAACAGTCAAACATCAGCTATAATATAATATAGGTATATAAATGGTAAAAACTGAATTAGTTTATATTATCAAATAATATATTTTTTATTTCTTTATTTAATTAACTTAATAATTTGCACATCAATGAGGAACTTTGCTTCACATATTGTAATATTTCTTGAAAATCTACTTCTTCTAACAACTCTTTCTCTACACTCATCAACATAAATGCCTCTAATTTTTCATTTCCAATTGATGAACGCAATCTACTTTTAATAATTTTAAGCTTACTGAAGCTTCTCTCACAGTTAACCTGAGTAAAGGACAAAGTGAGAATAAATTCATATGCCAAGTATAAATTAGTAAATGCCACCGAATGCATATTAAATTTAAATAATAGCTTAAAACAACAAATTAAACAACCAGAACATTTGCTTTGTTTTCCAGTAGCTGACTTTTTTTATGAATAGTAAACTTGTAGCTTAACCCATTATCAACATCTGTTGAATAAAGTAAACACAAATAAAAATGTATCAAGTTATTAATTAAATATTGCTAACTTAACATACCTAAATTATCCATAGTTGCATTTGGAGTTGTGTCATCTTCTTCATCAGTCGAATCATCGTCAACTAAATTATTTTCATTATTGTGCATATTATCATATATTTCTTCAGCTCTTTGAGAAAGAGTTCCATTCATTGATGGATATATTTTAGAAAATGCTACAAGTTCCTCTACCAATGTATTGTGAGGAATATTTACTAAATTAGCTATCTTTAGTAAACCATTTTTTGGAAAGTTTTTAAGATTTTCGTCAAAACTAGATGGATGTAATAACTGTGCATCGGTAATCAAATCTATATTGGATGAAAATCTTTCATTTAAACTCATGTTTAATTGATCAATTATTGTCTGGAAAGTTTCTACCCTGTAATGATCAATCGGTGTTGTTAATGCTTCGTCCTCAGTTGTCTCATCAAATTGTTTTTTTTTTTTTCTTAAACGACGACCTTCTGGAAGTTTTTCTTCCACTAAAATATGTTCAGGCAATTTTAAGTTAGTAAGTTTTTCATTAGTTTCAATTGCAAATTGTTTTGCTTTTATAATGATATTTTCAAATGATATTTGTTTTATATCATTCTTAGTGTTTTCCACCATTCTCCAAGCTGATAAAAAATCTAACTGTTTTGTTTGTAAGTAATCGGAAGTTGGTCGTACATAACTAAAAATGTTCAAAAAAATATGTGCAGTTAATATAACTTTGAACTCACATAAATTTTTTAGTAATGAAAGTGCTTCAGAAGTAGAATTATTATCAAATGAACTATCAGTTGAAATAATATGCAACACACTTATAACTGTAGGAAATAAACAATCTGTTCCTTTAAACACCCATTCTAATGCCTTATGTCTCGACCACCATCTTGTATTAGATTCAGCTACCTTATGTAATTTTCTCAACATATCTTGTCCAATTCTGCTGTTTTTACTGTTTTCACTAGTCCAAGTATTCATTCTCTTATAAGAACTACCAAAAAACGTTGCTAAACGGTTTAAAAGACCAAACAAAGTTTTTGAATCAATGTTTTTACATATATCAACCATACATAAATTTAAGATGTGACTGTAACACCATATGAAGATGCTATTCTTATTTTCAGATTTTATAAAAGACTGAAGACCAGAAAATTGACCACTCATGTTATTAGCTCCATCAAATGACTCACCAATTATATTACTAAATTTAAGCCCATGTTCAAAAAAACAATCTTTAAGTAATTTATAAAGTTCTTCACCTTTAGAACTCTTTACTTGGACAATTGCAAACAGTCTTTCTTTTATATCACCATCATTGATATAACGAACACAAATAGATGCTTGGTCCATAACACCAACATCCTGGGTGCTATCCATTTGTATACTGAAGTTTTGATCACCAAGTTCATTTTTAATTTTATTTCTTATAGCCTTTAAAATTCCTGAAATTACTTTATCAACAGTTGTTTTCGATAAAAATGTAATAAGTGAACCTCGCCCTTTTGAATTTAAGTTTTTATTTTTCTCTAACCTCTCCTTCCTTAGTTTACTATTTTTAATAGCTTGACGTAAATGTTCATGCAAAATGGTATCTTTTTTGGATGCAAATTGAACCATTTCCAAAAAATTACCTTTATTTATTAAAATATCATCAAAGTTTGATAATGTTTCATTGGAAGCAGATCCCCTGTACGGTAAATTTTGACGACCAAGGAACTTGATAATTTCAAAAACTTCTTTAAGCACATGAATATTATTTTCTGTTTCTTGCCTTTTAACAGCCATCATATTTCTATTTATAAGATACTCCATAGACATTTCTTTAGAAGCTTGAAAATAGCTTTCTACTGCATTAGTATGTATAATTGATTTTTCATGTCGTTCAATAGCTGAGTACATTGATTTTAAATTTGTACAGCCACTGTTACTTGAAAAATTACTTATTCCAGAACCAAATGCTATACAAATTGAACAAAACATTGACTTGAAATCATTGTCTTCGACTAAAATAGATAACCAAGTTCTATGAATTTTTTTCCCAGAAACGATTCTATAGTAAATTTTATTAACATCAAAGTTTATATTTCCAGTGTGAGTAGGTTGAATTGGATGTTTTTTAATAAAGTCTAACTTTTGAGTTACAGTTGCATTATAATTTAGAATAAAATTAGAATTTGCATTAGTACTCTCAAAGCATTGTTCACCAATAATATCACTAGCATCTTCTGAGGTTTTTGAATCATTTAATTTTCTAATAAAATTAGAATTTGCATTAGTACTCTCAAAGCATTGTTCACCAATAATATCACTAGCATCTTCTGAGGTTTTTGAATCATTTAAGTTAATCTAATTTAAATAAACACAAATTAGTAAGAATTAAGAGAATTAATGGAAAAATTACTTTTTAGTTTAAAAATTATTAAAATTAAAAATCATGCAATTATAATAAAATTACAAACACACATTTATATCAATTTTAAATAACAATGCATTATCATGCAATGGTTGGTATAATACCTTTAAACATAAACCACATAGAGACTGCCTCGTACAAATTTTAGAGACCACACTAATGTGATGATAACTAACTAAATAGTTAAATAAAAAAAAATACATTATAAAGAATTTACCTACTAAATCTGTTTAAAAAAAAAACTATAATTTAAAATTTGTCAGTACCAACAACTATGAGTAGGATAATATCTAAACTATAATGAGTATAATTAATGTAGTAGAAAAACTTAAATGGGCATTAACTTCTTAAAAAGTTAAAGTTAAGTTAAGAAGTTTTATTTTTTTAAACTTTTAAACTTAATTAGTTAATTATTTTTGTTTTTAACTTATTAACTTATGCAGTTAAATTAAATTTTTTTCTTATCATGCAGAACAGGTTAGTAGAACAGACAAATGTTAGTGTAGATCAAAATACTAGGACAATTTATAAATCATGAATATTGTTGCTTGAAAAAAAATTTAATTTCACTTTATTTAATACACTTTTGTAACTATTACAATTATTAAAATTACTGATTTACATACCAAATTAATTACATATTCCAATTCTAATGTTAATGATTCTTAAGTAAAAGTATAAAACAAGATTAGACAACACAATACAACATAAATAAATATTAGGAAATAACTAGTTACTTAAATATTTTAAAGTACTCACCATAGTCACAACATTTAAATGGTCTGAATGATCATATTTATTATTAGAAACTGACTGTTCTAAATTAAGATTATCTTCTTTGTGCTAAAATCAATAAAAAATTTAAAAAAATAATATAAAAATTAAATATGAATAATATGATAGTTAAATTTAACACAGGTTAAGTATTTTTTACTTCATTAAAACCATCAGTTTCATTGATAACATAATCTGGTTGTTTTGTACATACACCATCGTCACCATCATCTTCATTCTTCAAACATACAATTTGTTATTATTATTTATTATTTATAAAGAAACTTTAAATAATACTAGATAATAGTTGAAATTAGTTTTTAAATTAAATTAGTATTATGAAATACTCACATTATGTAATATGTTATTAACAAATAAATCATCTTCATTATTTAACTTTGAGCATGGGTTATCCTCATCCTTTAAAAATTATAAAGGTTACTATTCATCAAATAAAATATATAAATTACATTTAAATGTTTATTACTCCTGATAATGTTGTTTGATGTTTTTCAGATCCTTGTTTCTGTTCATTATTTACATCTAAGCTAGGTTTATTAATCTAAAATGAAATATATTATAAATATAATATATATTATTATAATTATTATATTGCATTAATAATTACTTTATTGCATTTAATATGATTTTTGTAAATGTCCAAATAGTATTTTAATATTAAGTAGGATATTAAAATTTACTTATTTTAGTAAAACTATTTAATAATATGATATGACCCTAGGTAATAGTGTAATACTATACAACAATCCAGATAAAAACCATTTAAATAAGTAAAATATATTTGTAAATAAGTAGATACTAACCTTTGGTTTAGTAAACATGTCTTGAATGTTAAGACACATTTTTGCATCATTTTGAAGCTGTTTTTTCTTATTTTCTCGTAATTTTTCGGCCCCTCCTTTTCTTTTTTTTTCAGACATAACTTAAATTGTATAATAATAGGGTCACAAATCACAAACAAATGTAAACGTATAGGTACTTTCGTATATTTTCGTTATTTCGCTAACAAAAAATCAAAATACTGTTAAAATAATGAAATAATAAAATCTATTCCATATTTCCATGATAAGACATTTATAATATGTAGCAATGCATTGACTTTATACAAGGCACAATCGCACACCGCACGGTATGTCTATTAATAATCTATAGATTGTTGTTTATTCGTTGATAACAAAATAATAACAACAGGCTTTCCAAAAACACGATTAATGATTATACGCTGTCACTGTCAATAAACTGTACTCAGTACGTATATTTACCATAACCAACGAATGTAATAATAATTTTAAATAATAGTAGGTTCATAAATAATAAAATTTACACCGGCCCAAGGAGATAAATTTCTTCACCGGCCCAGGGAGATAAATCTCCCCAACTCCCCTGGCCAGTCCGCCACTGGTCGTAGCCGTATTTTGTAAACGGCTATGGGTTGTGGGTGACCACGTGCATACCATATCAAAAATTACACCCCCCCCTCCTTTTTTTGATTTAAGTATATCTCTGTCACGTTTCGACTTGGGTCCCCCGTTTTACCACCAAAATTTACGTTTCAAGACCATCTAAATAGTCCCCCCATAGTCGCGGTACTTTTGACCCCCTCTCAAATTTTTCGGTGACAGTTATAAACGCCGTCCGCGATTCGACGCGATAATAATAACTAACTTACATGTATGCTTTGTCGTAGGTACCTATTAAATATATCACAGTTTGGTTGAGGTTGAGTTGTTGGTAATATTATGAATAACATATTGATATATATATATATATATATATATTATGTGCTATTATTATATACATGTATCTTTATACCTATTGATATATTTATATAATAACATTTTATAAAAATATATATATATTATACTATGTAGTAGGTACTTAATGTATTACAGTTTTTAGGTGAGTCAAATTATGTATATTAAAAATATAATCTAATGTGTTTAATTAAATTATATGACTATGCTATAACTATTTAATAAATAATAATAATAATAAATATTTAGTTAACACTGCTACAGATTATAAATACTATTTGATATAATAATATTTATAAACTAATAGATCTAATTGAAATGATTAAATTCTGGTAGTTAAATTGTACAATTATTATAATATACCTAACTACTCTCTTTGATATTATTTATATGGATAGGTTTGATCGTTTGATGTAGTAGATATTTAATATATAACTTAAGGTGTTTAAATATTACTATACTTATTAAACTATTTAATAAATAATAATAATAAATATTTAATTTACACTTGATTTTATCCAACGCACATATATGTTTCCTTTATACTTCAATAAACAATAGTGCAAGTACAATATAACTACTAACCTAGGTACATGTATACTTTGTAGTAGGTACCTACTTAATATATCACAGTTTGGTTGAGGTACGATACAAATACTGCTGCAGATAGTATATAATACTCTGATAGTTAAATTGTATTTGACATAATTTGTTATTGCTCAAAATATAGGTAGGTCTATAGTGTATAATATTAATTTAATTATGAGTTTCAAATTAATAAATTATATGAATAACAAATTGATATATATATACATTATGTACTATTTATTATATAGATGTATGTTTATACCTAATGATATATTTATATAATTTAAGCATAATATTATGTATGTACAAAGTGAAATCAGTACATATTTTGGTCCATTGGTCTAAAAGTTTAAATGAAGTACTATTTACTATTAATTATATCATTGGTATTGGTTGGTATTGGTTGGTATATAAAATATGTCTTTTTCTAATAGTTTGCATTGTGTGTTAAACGGTATAGTGTTATAATATATGAACTGGGCATATTGTAATATGTAAAAATTTAATTAGAAGAAGTAATAGTGAAATTGGTAAATAAGGTAGTTGGTCATAGGTTAGTACTCCATGAGTAGGTACATAACATTGATGGACTAATAGAGAGTAACTAAGTATTGGAAACAGAGGATTTCACTTCTAAGTATATAATAACAAATTATAAATATATATATATATATAATATACTATGTAGTAGGTACTAAATTTTTAGGTGATATTAAAAATATGAATTATATGAATTTAGTCATATCATATGACTATACTATAAGTATTTAATAAATATTTATTTATAATAAGTATTTAGTTAATACTTGACACATTTACCATGAACAACGCACCTATATATTTTTCAAATAGTATATAATACTCTGATGGTTCAATTGTATAATGATATGACATAATTTGATATTACTCAATATAATATAGGTCTATGGTCTATCACGTATATTTATTTATTTATTTAATATCAAATGTAATAATTTATGAATAATAAATTGATATATATATTATGTACCTACATAATATGACTAATGTATATACATAATAGTATAGTTATATAATTTAAGCATATTATATGTATGCACATGAATTAATAGTGATATTAATATACATTTTCGTTCATTGGGCCAAAAATATAAATAAAGTACCTACACATAATATTATAAAAATTATTTCAGTTAACATATTATTGGTACCTATATAGTAAGTAGATGAATTGATAGTGAAATAAAATTAGTAAATAAAGTAGTTGGGCACAGGTACTCCAATGGTATATAATATACTATGTAGTAGGTACTTTTACAGTTTTTAGGTGAGTCAAATTATGTAGGTATATCAATAAACAAAATATAACTTAACCCATTTACGCCCAAGGTTAATTTTTGTGAATAAAATTGATTTTTCTACTATAAACTTATATTATTGGAGCCAAATGTGATTGAAAAAATTATAAAAAAAAAAAATTATATACCATACAAGAGTTATTGAGTGTCCTATATATAGGACACTGGGCATATGAACAATTATAAATATTATTATGTTTTCATATACAAATATACCAATAAAAATAATTGAAATTTAATACTTTTAATTGATAATTAATTATTACACGTTATATTTAAATTATGATAATGAGAGGCTTACAATGTATATTTTTTGAATTTACTTAGGTACATACGAACATTATTTTGTGTGATATAAAACGTTACATTTTGCGTGGACACCAATATTGCACTTCATACATCTTGTCGTTGTTTTTTGATGACATTGACCACACCGTGTTTGAGAGTCTTGGGGAATCAAATAATGTTCAAATTTGTCATATCTTATTTCCATAATAACACTGGATGGTTTGCCTCCACTTCTTCCTGGAGTGGGTTCTGTCTTGTAACGTGTCAGATATGAAATAACTATGCTTCTTCGAAATGCCAATTGATCCATTTTATTTTTATTATACATCCTATGAAGCTGCCATGCATTTTGAACGGCTAAGTCTATAATATATAGAACAATAGAAGAGTACCATTTTTTACCTCTGATCCCAATACGATATTGTGATATATTTTGGTCCATTCGATCTACACCACCCATATTTTTGTTATAAACAGAAACGATATTTGGTTGTGAAATCCGTAATCTTTTTTTTTCGGAAGTAGACCAACGGTTTGCCACAGAAATAGGATCTGTCCCAATAGTATTTGAAGCTAAGCAAACAATGTTATTATCACGCCAACAGCAAATAAAAATTGCATTATTTGAAACAAAACTACAGCTAGACCCTCTTGGTTGTTTTTTCATTTTTCCAAAATCAATTGGACATTTCATAACTCTGTTTGACCGAATTGTACCTGTCGCGCGAATGTTGATAGATTTGAGCTTTTCCAAAAGAGTGACACCCGTAAAAAAATTGTCAAACACCAAATGATATGGAGCAGGTCGATGGTTTATAATTTGGTTAGCATAAGCTAAAATAACAGATCCTCCTAATCCGACATCTGTTTGGTTGAACCCGGTATTTTTTCCTTGGTAAGGAGAGATCCATAATGCATATCCTAGACGCAATGTCCCAACCCACACTTTAAATCCAAAACGAATTGGTTTTCCTCGGATAAATTGTTTGCATCCATGTTTACCATAATATGGCACCATGGATTCATCTATGCTATGAAATTCTTCGTGAGGAGCGTGCATTAGGAATCTAGTATTTATCATAGTAATCAACGGTCTTATTTTTGCATATTTATCAGAATTATCCAAGTTGTTGTTGTTTGAAAAGTGAAGATTATGAAATATATCGTCAAATCTATTTCGCCTCATAGCATTGGACACTAAACCATTATTTGTATCAGGGGCCTTTTCCCAGTACATACGTCGCCGAGACATTTCATTATACCCAGATAATAAGAGAATTGCAATAAAACATTTCAATTCATTTTTTGTCAAGTCCAAGGAAATATTTTTAGAAGAAGCATAAATGTTTGTATATTGTACAATAGAATCAAAAACTTGATCATCGAAAAATAATTCAAAAAGTTCAAATGGCGCAAGTGAGCCATATTTTATTTTACTGTTTTCATCTGGACCCCAAAGCTCTGTTATTTTAGGAGTCTCTAAATCTCCTTCACGCCAAATTTGAGATGAATCTTTTTGACTTTTTTTCATGCCCACTACAACCCGATTTTTTTTTGTAGTCACAACTTTTTTTTTTTTTGATTCGTAATAATTGTCGGTGTTGAGAATTTCTTTCGGTAAAATAACATTAGCTTTCAATACACTAGCAGGTAAATGGTTTATATCACCTGTATGTTCATCGTTATCGGAGTCTTCGTCAGTAATATTTTCATCCGGAGGTTCTAAGAAAATAGTATCTTCACTCAGCTCATCTGCTTCCAGCAAATTTATAATATCATTCACACAAAGAGATCTAAAAAAAATATACATATTAGGCTACAGAATATCCCAGTGACCTACATGTAGAACACTAATATTTAAACGCAAATAAATGAAAAAGTATGTGGAATAAATTAATTTAATTTATAAAAATATAAAATGTAAATAGTAATATATATGATTGTATGTGTTTT